TCCCGGGGACTTAAACCTGTTAAGAATTAGACAGGTTTACATTTGGAGGTGTGGCATCATCTGAAGCTATAGACTATGATGAATGCGTGTGTTTTATAAACCTCTAGAAATGGAACTCCTTGATCAGTGGATAAGCAAGATCTGTAAAGTGTTGAAAGGGCATGAGGGGTAACATGAGATGCAAAGGTCTTTTAGTGGATCTTGACACTTATTTTCCTGTATCTAAGGACACTTATTTTCCTGTATCTAAGAATGTAGAAGTTCTTTGGCTTTCAGCACCAAAAACTCAGCTTTTGATAGTTTTCCATTTTTAACAGGCAGCTCAGAAAAGGTATTTAAAATGTTCACCCCCCACACTGCCTGACGTCTACCCCTAACCTGACTGTTGGGTACATTGAAACACTGCTCATTTGCCGTTATCCCTCCTACACTCTCTGTGGATCATTATTTATATTTTATATATATATATATATATTATATATACATACATATACACACACACACACACCTATAACTTCTATCCTACAAATCACTAACCCTCAAAATTCCCTCTCCCCCCCTGCAGTTCACATCCAGACGATCCGGGCACTGATGGTGGTTTCGATGCTCCTGGGCTTCATCGGAATAATCATCAGCGTTGTGGGAATGAAATGTACGAAAGTGGGTGACAATAACCCCATTGCCAAGGACAGAATTGCTGTGTCTGGAGGAGCCCTTTTCATTTTGGCAGGTAATGTAATTAAAGAACGTTGTACAGAGAAAAATCCATTGTTGACCTTCTTGTGAAAATGCTAACTTCCTGTCTGTACCTGGCTTTTATGCCTTCAGCAACTAACCTTGTTTGCAAGCATAAGGATGGGGAGAGTCAGTGTGAGATCAGTTGGAGTGGCACCAGATGTCCTGATCTACATATTTGTTCAAAGTTAGTGACAGACTGCTGAAGTCACTGGATCTGCACGACAGCCAAGGGAGTAGAGATTAGGAAAAGCCTCCTAGGTAATTCCTTGCGACAGGTTTCCTGTAACATCCTCTCCAAGTGGGCTGGGCCTTGGGAAGTCCAATTTATTGCCCATCACGTGTCACTACCTGGGTATTTCCAGCCTTAAACCATTAGCCCTGCAGCTTTCCAAAGTTTATTTGGGGTTGCTTGTAACGGCTCTTTGGGGCCACTGTGGCTGTTCAAGACAGAGAGAAAGGCAGATTGAGTAGCTCCCTGGCTGTCAAGTCAAAAACAGCCAAATCACACATGCTCAAGATGTGGGTGGTACAAACACTGAGTGAAAGAACACATTGCCATTAGTCAGGTAGTAGAGGTTGTGTTGGGCCTGGGTGACAATGGGCCGGCCCTTGAAGTGGTTGCCAGAAATCAAAGTTATCGAGAAGGTTTAGTGTTTGGTGGAAAGGTTTTTTGGCAGGAATAGTCCTACTGCCAACTCCATATCCTAACAGTACTTTAGTGTGGTGGCCTAACCTAGTGGTGTCCACCTAAAGTGGTGTTCTTAAACACTGTGCCGCCAGTCTCTTCTGGCTAACGTATAAACCCCCCAGGTGGTAGGAATCGGGCTTCTACTCCGGTTATTATTGGACCTCCTGTGGGGAAGTTCTTTTGACCTGTTGTTATAATAGAAGTTCTGAACTAAATTCTACTTTTGGTAGTTAGAGGTGTTGGGGCCTCACGGGTTCTTTGAACTGTTAGGTGTCTGGACCACCATATAAACAAAAGCATGGACACCGGCACTCCAAAAGCTGATTAAGTACGTCTATTTATTAACATAAGTGCTGCATAGTAAATAATGCACCATTTCGGGGTCACAAAGGATCCCCTTCATCAGGCAGAAACAAGTGATCACTGATTGATTGATCACTTGTTTCTGCCTGATGAAGGGGATCCTTTGCGACCCGAAACGTTGCATTAAGTGCATTTGCTATGCAGCACGTACGTTAAGAAATAGACATACTTAATCAGCTATTGGAGTGCCGGTGTCCATGCTTTTGTTCATATGATGAGGTGGTTACCATCCGCAGCACCCATTATCACATTGGAATAGCGGCATCTGAGTGCGGTGGGTATATGGACTATATCTGTACCACCATATACACACAATATCTTTGTGTAATGTAGAGTGTATAATAACACAGGATTCTCAGAGCATTATGAGTTTTCTAAAAAGACAGTACAACTGAACGTCTTTCCACTCTGTCTCTAAATTGAAACCTTATATGGAGCCACCTGAAAGGGAACTCAAGGAAGGGTGGCAGTGACCATTGCTGTGACTTATTTATTGACTATACATGCCCTTTAAAAATAATAAGCAAAATGGCCTTTGGGTGGTCATGGAGTCCTGGGTAAACCTCCCACCAGGTAGATCATCTGTATAGTGTGTGTGTGTGTGTGTGTGTGTGTGTGTGTGTGTGTGTGTGTGTGTGTGTGTGTCGGGGTTCTTTAGTGTATTATGGCATCTTCCCACAATTCCTACATATGAGTAGTCAGCTGGCTTCTTATTGTACCTAGTAGGCCACATACCATGCCACTGCTATGATGGGAGGTGTCAGGATGGCATATGGGCATGAATATTTTCAGAAACAATATCTGGCTAAAATGATAAAACAACCGACAGACTTCAACCTAAGAGCCCAATTTAGATCCTTTGACTAGGTGTGCAAAGCTCAATCAATGTCCTAATCGGATAGTGTTTGCTGTGTATTGATGTGTGCACCCATCTTTCACTCTCTCCGTTAGGTCTCTGCACATTAATTGCCGTTTCCTGGTATGCCACACAAGTTTCTCAAGAATTTTTCAACCCAAATACACCAGTCAATGCCCGGTAAGTGAAAATTCCTAATTGTAGTTAAAAGGGCCAGTTCATCCAAAAGTAATATTTTAGTTACAGGAGGAGCCTAATCAGCAAAGTCAGACCCAGACCTCCTACTGTACACGTCTTGGATACTCCCACAGTAAGATCTACTCACCATAATTCCCATCTCTGTACGTGTCCACCTGGAAGTTGTGTGTTTAAATAAAAACCAAAAGAGATTTCACTAAAAGAATCCACCAGAGATATAAGAAATTGTCATATGGTCCAGCATTTACCAGTACAGTATCAGTAT